ATATATATATATATATATATATATATATATATATATATATACACACACATGCCAGCACTTCTCCCTTCTCTTGCCTATGCTTAACTCTCTTCCTCCCCTTCCTCCTTGCAGCCTGACCAATTCAAATCCTGGTGACTCTGAAGACTAAGAAGTTTATCCAGCGTCCCTTACCTGCAGTAGGCTTGGTGGTCACATTGCTGTTCTGGTAGATGGGCTGGGTGTTCTCATGCTGTGGCTGACCAATCACGGGTGTCATGGATGGTGTGTTGACATTGGAGAGGATGCAGCCAGTAACCCTCTGGGGAAAAGCAAAAGCACCGAGTCAGTGTCCTTAGCCAAGGGACGCTGAGAATCATGGCCCCATTGCCCCCACGGGCATCTGTCTCCAGCAGACTGGGTCAGCCTCAAGCTGGTGGAGGACCCTGGGGTTGCTTCTATAGGCAGCTAATCATATGGTCTACTCTGGCAGAAAACAGGGGAGCTCAGCAAGAAAAGCTTGGGAAGCAGCATCACATAGCCCTGGACCCTAGTTCAAACTCTCCTTCTTCTAGCTAAGTGACCTGGAATAGTTAATTGCTCCTGAACCTTTATTTTAAGTCAAGTCTGACAATATGCCCCCCCCTTTTTTTTTTTTTGATCTAATGAATCTCAGGCTGGCTTCAAACTATGTAGTTGAGGATGACCTTTTTCTTTTCTTTTTTTTAATATTTATTTATTTTGAGACAGGATTATTCTGTGCAGCCCTGGCTGTTCTGGAACTCAATCTGTTGACCAGGCTGGCCTCAAACTCAGAGATGCACCTGCCTCTGCCTGCAAGTCCCGGGATTAAAGGCCACTACCACCCATGACCTTAAATTTTCTATCCACCTGTCTCTACTTCCTGAGTGCTGGGATTACAGTCTTCAGCCATCCTTTGCAGAAAAAAAAAAAAAAAAAAAGAATCTACATCTGTGCGGAAGTCAGCTATCTTATTCTCTCTCAGGAAGGCAGGCCCACCTTATGCCTCTTTGACTATTGGCAGAAGTACTTGAGCAGGTTCACCTGAGGTGCCCGATAGATGCAGGGCTTTGTGTAACCTTCTGTATGTCACGACTGTCCATGGTCCCCACCTGCTTCATGGGGGCTGGAATGAGATCATATCTGTCGGGGAGCTCTGCAGGCTTGGGAAACATCAGGCCAACCTTGGATGTCATCACCACCTCAGCCTCTGCCAGACACATCAGTGACACGGCCGGCTAGAGAGCAGGACGTATTTGTGTCACGGGAAGTGTGGGTGAGTTTCAAGGCCCCGTGGGCCTGTGCATCACGTATCAGAGCCACATGGTGACTTGAGACACATTATCCATTAGCCTGTGTTATCAGGTCCACTGCTCCCTCCAGCAATGTAGAATATATGGGGCTGAGAAGGTGGCCTTCTCCACAGAAGAGCAGGAAGCAACTCTCCTTTACTCGGGGTCAGAGGGTAACAGAGAACCACAGGACTAAGTGCATATTCAAGGTCCCTTCCCCCAAAATCAGCCTCTCCAGGGTTGATGGTGCCCATTGCATTTTCAGGATTGGAGTCCTGCAGTGAGAGGGACCTTCAAACCCTAGAGATAAGCCAGGAAGATGCTCTCGGCACAGCTTCTGTGGGCCGCCCTGCAGGCAGAATGCCTGGAGTTTTTCTGAGCCCTAGAAGAGCAGGCATTTGGTTTGTGAGTTCATATGTCACTTCCGTCTACTCCTAACACCAGGTCACAGTAGCATCCAGCTGCATCTGTGAAGCTGCTTCCCAGCCCGCCTTGTGGGCCCCTCTGCCCAGCTGTGGCTGATGGAATGAAAGGGTGATCTATGCTCTTTCATTATTATTTTACCACCAGAAAAGACAGTGCCACATTGTCCCTTAATGGCTGCTCTGTGGCCGAGGAATTTCTTCTCTGGCTGAGTCCTTAGTCCCATTTGACTCTCTCTGTCCACAGACCCCACCACTGCCCGTGCCCTGCTCAGCCGTCCACGGCCCTCCCGCCCTCAGCAGTTTACATGCCCAGCCCCGAGTGGCCACCTCCCTGACACGTTTAGCCTCCACGCCAGGAACACCAGCCTCATCCCAGGACTGGGAAGTGTGGGGTTCCCAGAAAGCAGCTCTGAGCCCTGGCTGCAAGGCTGGAGACCATCTGTAACCTCCACCGTCGGCCAGCCTCTGCAGGCGCTGGTGCAGCTGGAGCTTGAGAAGGCCCTTCTCTGGCTCGGGCTCAAGCTTTGGCGTGAGTTAAAGAGGAAGTGCCCAGAAAGCCCAGGCATTGGACAGCCAAACAATTGCCAGGCTCTATGGCCATGATAGCCAGGCCAGCACTCAGGGATGCTGTCAGGGTTTCTGTCTCTCCCTAGGCCTCTGTGTGACTAAAAAGAACACAGGTTCCCGGATGACACTCCGCTCCCCAGCGCAAGGGGCAAGTGTGAGAAATAAACTAATGTAAGTCCCTGGTGAGTTTATTTGTTACCACAGCACAGCTTCACCTGCCTGACTAACACATTCTTTTAGCTCTCTGTCGAGGAGACTACCCAGAAGAGAAGTGAGAGTGACCCTGTCTCACAGAGAACGAATCAGGATAGGTATGAAGGGTTCCAAAGACAGCAGGAAAGATTGGTTCTGTTTCATTCTACAGAACAACGTAATAGACCGGAACAGCAGTCTGCTGGTCCTCCATGCTCCTCTCACTCCTGGTCCCCTACGGTGTTCTGGGACCCCAAATCATATATAGTAAGATGAAGCCCGGCTGTGTGGTTGTTTGCAGGGTGGGGAGGTCAGGGCCTGCCCTGTGAAGATGGCGACAGCCCTCCCTCCAACGGCAAGGAGAGGGCAGGATGCAGGTCTCCTCCGATCAGAATGATGTTTAGGGTATTTAGCGCTTGGGGCCTCTCCACGCAGAGTGTGGGGAGATGACCACAAAGGGCAGCTTCCTCTATCTGTCAGCCTGTCAGTCAGGTTTTTGGCCATGGATAGGGCTGTTTTTCATCCTGTCCCTCTTGATTTCGTGGAGGGCATTCTGCCCACATTGCGGTTGGTGCTGCTGGTACGCAGCCAGCCCTAGGTCACTGGAAGTTCTATACTGCAGTGGGGAACACAGGTGCTTTCTTCCATCCGTGGTCAATACATGTCCACTGTGAGTCCTCGGGTACACAGACTCCTCTCTCTGCTTCCTGTTACCCCATAATAAAGCAGGGATCAGGCACTGTTGTCTGTGAGGTTTTTAGATGGAGGAATGCATGGGGATGATGGAGCATTGATCCTTAGGCATGGTATCTTAGCCTGGGACTGGGATCCTTTGGGTCCCTAACAGATGGGGAAGGAACCCGGCAACTTGTACCAAGTCTAAGAGGACACTATTTTTTATCCCAGGCTAATGACACTGAATTTATGATCCTTCAATCTCTACCTCCCAATATAGAGGCGCACATCCCTACATCCAGTTTTTATCTGGCGCTGGGGATCAAACCCAGAGTTTCACACATGCTAAGCAAGCATTCCAGTAACTGAGCTACCTCCTCAGCCCATAGGGTACTTCTCTTCCCTTGCCCAGCCCCATCTTCTCCTCACTGAATAATTACAATTCTAGTCTTCTTCAGCCCTCCTTGAGCTTGCTTCTCCAGCAGATGTCAAATCCAGCCCTGACAGCCTCTTAGCATCGCCAATTCGGAGGACATGTCAGAGAGTCGAAGAAGGCAGGGAGCAAGGCTGGTGCTGCTCCAGGGTCCTAATTCCCTGGCACTCAACAAGGGCTGTTCCACCTCACAACTAACTGGCAGGGAAGCAGGAAGGAGATGCCAGGCCAGCAGGTCAGCAGGTCAGCAGGTCAGCAGTAGCCCTCCCCTCCCCCTCTCCCGTACCCTGCTGATCCGCTCACCCTCAGCCTCGGCCCAGCCTACCTTCATGAGGTCTCGATGGTGCTCCAGCACGCTGCAGGTTGTCTGCCAGGTGTCCTGGTAGCATTCCCATGGGTCCACCCTGCCAGCACACGAGAGGTTGTCCTTACTGTCCATTCCAGGCGCTCCCTCCTCCCTGCTTCCTCCCAAGGCTCAGGGAGTTTAGCAGGCCGTGGGCTTAGATCTCAAATCGGGTTAAGCCAGGCTGTGAAATATGTTCCTGAGCCTCAGTTTCCCTCTCTGTAAAATGGGAGGAATCTAGCGCAGGTGTGTAAGGAAGATGCTGCTGTCAGCCTTCCTGAGTTTAACCCCAGCTCAGCACTCTTGAGCTTGGAGAATTTTATATGCAGGATAGCTTGTACTTATTCCCCTATGGAGATCTCCAGGCTCTTACAGAATTGTGATAAGGATTAGAAGAGCCAGGGGCTCATCAAGCTGGGACTGAGGCTGTCCTTGCTGCAAGCCCTGGCGAAAAGCCCATCAACCTCAACTCGGCACTGCGGCACGGCGGCACGGCGGCACAGTGCCACGAGGCTGGACAGTGCCATGACTGCTAGACTGGAGGGTGCAAACCCACAGGCCAGGTCACTCTCCCTGAGCAGGAGGCTGGGAAGTGAGCAGGGATCCTGCCCCAGACTCCTGGTGCCTCCCTTGGCCTCAATTGCCAACTTAATGAGCTGCTAAATTGAGAGATTTCTGAAGTGTTCTCTTAACGTTGAGCAGCCCTGGCCGCCCACTGCCGTGAGCATGAGCCTCAGGTTTCCTGAGCTGAGATCTGACTAAGTGAAAATGGAGGGGTCTGAGCAGCCTCACCAGGTTCTTTCTGCCCTGCCCCTGTGAGCACAAGTATGGGAGGCAAGCAAGCCCCACTCCCTGGCCTCACCAAACAGGTGTCCTGGGGCAGGGCTACCTTCCAAGAGCTCGACCTCAGGCTCCTTAGACATCTCAGTTCTGTTTTTCCCAGTGAGGCAGGCAGTAAGCCCTCAGCAAGTAGTCATTGGATCAATTGCGTTACTCCACAATTTTCTGAGAAGATCAAAGTAGGCGCAGCCTTCTGGCCATTGTTTTCTCGCCTGGACTCATTTCCCAAAGGCAGTTAAACATTCACTTACAGCTCTAAGAGGTGTGGTTTCTAATCCTGACTCCATCACAGATGCCCTGTCCTCCAGCACTGGACTTCTTGGGCCCATTTCTCATCTGAGAAAAGCAGCCTCTTTCTATCTAACTTTTTTTTTAAGATTTATTTTTATTTATGTGAGGGTGCCTGTGGAGGCCAGAGAGGGTTGTCAGAGCCCCTGGAGCTGAAGTTACATACAGGTAGTAGTAAGCTGCCTGCCCAAGGTGGGTGCTGGGAACCGAACTCATGACCTCTAGAAGAATAGCAAGTGCTCTTAACTGCTGAGCCATATTTTCAGTCCTCAGCTGGAAAGAAAGGCCCTCAAGGGTGAGGCTTCTCGTACAAATCACCGTGCAGGCCCCCATGGACCACTTTGAAATTATTACCATGGCTTCCCCTCACTGCCTTCAGCTCTGCTTGCCCCTCCCTCCTGGGTTAACTGCAGCCCTTACTCACTCTGAGGTCAGTGCCCCTCCCCTCCTGGAAGCTTCTAGGTGCTGCTTATTTTTCCAGCGTAGGAAATTAAAGAGCAAATGATGTGCCATTATATTTTTTTAAACACCATCTTCTCATGCAAATTATAACGGCAGGAACTGGGGGGACATAATTAGCATAATTAGTGGAAGCTTGCTTTAATTACACTGCTGGCTCAGAGCATGGGGAGCACTGCCATCTCAGTGGAACAGCTAGTCTAACGGGAGTGGGGAGCGCTGATTAGGAAGACAGCTCTAGGTCTGACTTGGTAGGGAAGCCCTAGAGGGTGCTGCTCATGTCCAGGCGTCACTGTGGACCTCAGAAGGACACCCATCTCAGAAATGGGCAGGAATCGAGTCATTGAGAGGATTTGGGGACCAGGCCCCTCCCCCAGAGATGTTTTTGGAAACTCTTAAGATCACACCAGCAGCCACAGGTGGAACTCCGTTAGCCAACTCTTTAATGTTGTGAGCCTGATTGTTTGGTTCAAAAATAAACAAAGTTATTCATGGGGCCACCACTGGAGACCTACCGAATTCCGGCCAGTTACAGGGCTAATATCTCTCCTACTTCCTCACCCTTGGGGGTTCCAAGCTACTGACTCTTCCTCTTTTCCATCCCATCCCAGTGAGCCCAGGGCTATCCCAGCCCTACCTGATCCAGTCGGAATTCTGGACAGCCAGCTGACACATGATGAGACGGTGCCGACTCGACACAAGGCCCTGGGAAGCAACAAGACCCTCAGTCTCCCACGGCGCCCAGAAACGCCCACCCAGAACACCCCATTACAAAGCATGTTTGATGGTGAGAGGAAATGAGGGACGTGCCCCCGCCCCTGACCTGTCCCTCTGCCACACACACAGACATTGGGTGACAAGGGGAAAAAGAAAAAGGGTGAAGGATATGTGCCATGCATCACACTGCATCAGAGTCTGAACTAGTCAGTACCCGCTCTACGTGGATCTAAGATTTGACCTGAGTTGAGCTTGGTGAGCCTGGTTTGGTGATTAGAGCATCCATGGGAGAAACAGGAATGACTGAGATAGTGCCCACATGTTTTTTGAGGACTGGTGGCATATTATAAGCAGCATTGGGATGCTTCTTCCAAAATAAAATTCTTAGGAAATATTTGTCCAATGCAGCTCAACCCATAACCTGCTGCCAGTGTGGCTGAGCCTGGCACAGTCACACTGAGCAGGCACGCTCCCCTTTCTCTGTGAGCAGTTGGCTGTGGTGGGCGGCTGGCCATCCAGCTGTGGCCAGACACCCGGTCTGACAGTGGTCCTGGGACAAAAGCCAGATGCCTACTGTCAGGCATTTACCATTTCCAGGAATTTCCTCAGAGAGGACAGGGGGGCAGTTTTATCAGGTGAGGAGGGAGGGCGAAGGGAGAGCGGGCCAAGAAGAGAACTCACCTGTTTGCCATAGGAGTCGTGGACCGGAGAGACAATGCCACCAATCACGATAAACCTTCCAGTCTTGTGCAGATAATCCCTGGCTCTTTCTAATTAAGAGGAGAAAACCGAACGTTAGAAGAGAGGAAAGGTGTGTCTTAAAGGTGATAATTGGAGTCACCCGCAGCTGAGGTTAGGTACTTGCTATTTAAGTAGAAGGCGTCAACTTTCAAAGCGTCAACTCAAAGGTCGGGGAGGCAGACCTTAGCCCCAGACACTGAAGGATTTATAACTTGAAGGGTTTAATACAGTGGTGAAGGGTCTGTGTTGGAGAAGCCACAGTAGCTTGGAGGGGTTTTAAAACAAGCACCTCATTAAGAGGCCTTAAAACTAAAACAGCTGATTGGAATTTGCTCCTGTTGTCGCTTGCAGAAATTCCAGTGAGGAGCCCTAACAGAAAAGGTAAGCCTCCTTAGAATATGAAAGATGTACTGATTGCCCCATCTAACTGCCTAGACGGAAGAAGCAGGAAAACAAATTTAAAGGGCCTTGTACATAATCATAGGGAATTAACTATCAGCCTAGAGTCGACATCATCAGAGTTGCTTGAGAATAAAAAAACGCCCAGCCAAACAAAATCCTCCTTGAGGGTGTCATATCGCTTATCCAAACTGATGAGGCGAGGTTCACTTTCGGGAGAAAAGCTAGTGAACTAGAAGAGCTTAAAAGTCTAGTCCTAAAGGCTGGAGAGATGGCTCAGTGGTTAAGAGTGCTCTCTGCTCTTCCTAAAGGACCCGGATTCAATTCCCAGCACTCACATGGCAGCTCACAACTGTCTGTAAGGGTAATTCCAAGGGATCTGACACCTTCACACTAATGCACATTAAACAAATTATTAAAAGAAAAGTCTAGTCCTGTTTTATTTCCAAGGGAGACCATTAAACAGATTCTATCAGTATATTTTTTTAAGGTGTGTGTGTGTGTGTGTGTGTGTGTGTGTGTGTGAGTATCTGCGCACGTGTGTATGCAGACACCTGAGACAATCCAGGAGAGGGCGTCAGATACCTTGGGGCTGGAGTTACAGGAGCCTGTGAGGCCACATGTGGACGTCGGGACATGAACACGGGTCCTCTGGAAGAACAGTGTTCACTCTTAATCTCGGAGCCAACTTTCCAGACCTCTCTACTTTATTTTTTGAGACAAGGTCTCTCACTGAAGTTCACTGACTTTCCCTCAACTAGTTACCAGTGACCCCCTGCCTCATCCTTCTGTCTCTGCTTTCTGAAGTACTGAGGTGGCCATACATGCTGCCACGCCTTTATTTGTTTGTTTATTGAAGACAGGATTTCTCTGTGTAGCCCTGTCTGTTCTGGAACTCACTATGTAGACCAGGCTGGCCTCTAACAGAGATCTGCCTGCCTCTACCTCCCAAGTAATGAGATTAAAGGTATGTGCTACCATGCTATGCTTTTTCTGTGTATGAGTGTTTTTGCCTGCATGTATGTACACATACCATGTACATGCCTAATGTCCTCAGAGGCCAGAAGAGGGCTTCAGACCTCCTGGATGGTTGCTAGTTGCCATGTGGGTGCTGGGAACTGAACCTTGGTCCTATGTGGGAACAGCAAGCACTCTTAACCATTGGGCTATCTCCTTAGCCCCTCAACTGTCTTTTTAAGTGAATGCTGGGGATCAAAGCCAGGTCCTCCAGCCTGAAGTAAACGCCTCACCGACTGAGGCAATGCGGAGGCCCCAGGCATGAACATCGTGGTTGGGGAATCAGTGAGTGAAAGAAGAGCGAAGGCAGCAAGGCTGGTTGTAGATTTTACAATCGGGTTTTCACGACCCTGGTGGCTCTGTCAGCATTTAGAAATAATTCTTACCACAGTTGCTGCTTTTATCCCTCCAGTGAGAAAGCCTTTAAGAAAAACTTACTGGCTGTTTTTAATATCATTTTAGATTTTTTTCCCCCAAAGTAGATGGAGAGATTATACTTATAATTCAATAAACCTGGCTCCATTCCTTTTACTCCCTCCCCCCCTCCCCCGCCCCTGCACAGGGTCCCCACCACAAACAACCTTGCACTTGTGATGCTCGTTGGCTCCACTCCATTAGCGGCTGTGCTTGGTCTACAGAAAGATTCATTCTGTGCTATAGGCTTCTACAGGTTTTGACAAGCGTGGGACGAACACCTGTCATGAAACACCGCACCCAGGGTTTGACTGCCCGAGGTCTACAGTGCTTCGCCTGCTTGTTCCTCCTTCTCGCCCCGGCCTCTGCCAGCCATGCTTCCTTACTATTTCTTGAGATTTGCTACTGCTAGGTGGTCAGAATGATGCGGTGTGCAGTCTCTGCAGACTGGGTCCTTCCATTGAACACCACGCACTTAAGTTCTTCCTGTCTTATTGTGCTGGTAGCTAGTTTTATGTCAACTTGACACGAGCTAACATCATCTGAGAGGAGGGACCATCCATTAAGAAAACGCCTTCATGGAAACCTACAGAATCGACTCACCTGAGCTCATGGGGGCTTACAGATACTGAACCACCAACCAGGGCACATACGTGGGACTGACCTAGGCCCTCTGTGCATACATTACGGTTGTGTAGCTTGGCCTTCTTGTGAGACCCCTAACAGTGGGGGCAGGGGCTGCCTGTGGCTCTGTTGCCTTCCTTTGAACGCCTTTCCCCCTACTGGGCTGCCTTATCTAGCTTCAGTAGGAAAAGTGCCTAGTCTCACTGCAACTTGATATGCCAAGGCTGGGTGATATCCATGGGAGCCCCTCCCCTTCTCTGAAGAGAAGGGGAGAAGGAGTGGATGGGAGATTTGAGGGGAAAGGATTGAAGAAAAGGGGAGGAGGGAGAGAGGAGAAACTATGGTCAGGATATCAAGTAAATTAATTAGGTAATTTTAGAAAGTTACAAAAACAGCTCGAACACTGAAATTAATCAGGCCCAGTACCATAAACTCAATGAATTTCTATATATTTAGAGTAGCCATCCAGAGCAGAAGCTGTAAATTTTGTAATTTCAGTCATATTTTGTAATTTCAGTATCAAATATATTTTTATGAGCTATAAAAAAACAGAAAGAAAGAAAGAAAAAAAGAAAGAAAGAAAGAAAGAAAGAAAGGAGGAAGAAAGGAAGAAAGAAAGAAAGGAAGGAAGGAAGGAAGGAAGGAAGGAAGGAAGGAAGGAAGGAAGGAAGGAAGGAAGGAAGAAACATATAAGAGGCAAGCCCATAGGATATGGAAGGGCCAGCCCATAGTGGGTGAGGTCATTCCAGAGCTGGTGATCTTGGGTTCTATAAGAAAGCAGGCTGAGCAAGCCATGAGGAGCAAGCCAATAAGCAGCACCTTTCTGTGGCTTCTACATCAGCTCCTGTCCTATTTGAGTTGCCCTCCTGACTTCCTTTGAACAGAAATATGGAAATGTAAGCCCAATAAGCCTTTCCCTCCTAAGCTGCTTTGGTCCTGGCGTTTCATCATAGTATAGTGACACAAATGAAGACACTTACCATGGTTAAATAGTTTATTTCTTGCCAGGCATGGTGGCACATGCCTGTAATCCCAGCACTCTGTGAGCAGGGGCAGGCGGACCACTGTGAGTCTGAGGCCAACCTGCTCTACAAAGTGAGTCCATGACAGCCAAGCTCTTTCCCATGTCTAACAAGTCTGGTCTGACCAGCACGCTCCTGCTTTGGACTTAATTGCCTAGCACTTCACTAGGTATTCAGGTTAGAGGACCAGGGGATTCTCTCAGCTCCTCTCCTATTTTATGGATTTCTCAAAGATGGACACCTTGCTAAAGGTCAGAATTCCCAAGTGCACAGCCAGAGTGCGGGTGGGGTCAGCATATTGCATGAGAGGCAAACTGGATCAAAGATGATTCACACTATGCTGCATGTAGGCCAAACAATATTGACACTGCCTTTGAATCAGTGTGTGGGTGGCTCCCAGTGGGCTCTAATCTGACACCCATGCCAAAGGCTTCTTCGGTTCTTAAACACCCAGTGGAGTGATGTGTCTCTTGAGCAATAGGTTCTCGGTAAATGTCCTTGCACAGGAAGCGCGTGAAACCCTCAGTGCTCTCCTGCTCCTGCAGAGTGTCCTTCTCTAAGTGACCCTGAGCTGCCCACTCTGGTCCTTAGACTACACTCATAATATCCAGGGAACACCCACTGTACCTTACTAGCTGTCACTCTTTTCTCCCGGCCAAGAGCAGTGACTCCTTCCCCTTGCGATTCTCCAGAACTCATTGCCTCGGACAGAGGCAGCTTCTGACAGGAATCTCCCGACGCTAACCAAGCAGTTCAACCAGAAGTGTTATTGTGATCAAGCAGCTCAGCTCAATGTAGGAAATGCTTGTGGGACGTAAAACCCACCATGGCTGCTGGAGGGATGTGAGATTGAAGGTGACTTTAACACTCTCTTTACTGGTTGTGTGTACATGGGGCCTGTGTCTGGAAAACGGTTTCACGGCAGTCTTTCCCAACCTGTGTGCTCTACGGGCTTTCCAGTCACTCTTCTGAAATGATCCCAGAGCCTTTCAAGGAAGGAGGTGTGATGTAGATGTCTTATTAAAGGCCCAGCTCTCCATGATCCCTTCTCTGCGGTCTGGCTAGCTGCAGGGCTGTGAATTAAGTGTCATCCACTGCAGAAAGAGTCCTGGATGTGGACACTCAGCAGTTTTCTCTGCACCTTGTTATTCTCTACCTTGAATGGAACGTCGGGCAGAGAAGAGTTTGGCAGCCTCCCAGACAAGTGGCCAGGAACAGGTGTAATCATTCTCTGTTTTCCAAGGAGAGTCCAAGTGTCAGAGACGTCTGCCTAGGATGACACCGGAGCTCTGTAGGAACCATAGCTCGATAGGAACCACACATACTGAGTGGAAGGTGTCTAGATCAAAGTCCACTCCCTTGATTTCTCTGAGGCTTGACTTGTCTTCCGTGTATGATTCATACAAGGACCAGCTAAAATCACAGATATTAAAATGCACAGAGCTAACGGGGCGCAGTGGCGCTCAACGGTAGTCCTAACACTTGGGGAGGCAGAGGCAGGCGGATCTCTGTAGGCCAGCCTGGTCTACAAAAGGAGAGCCCAAGACAGCCAA